TTTATCAATTTTATATCTACCTCCTCCATTTGCGTGGGTGATGCAATCTGTGTCCTAAATGTCATACACACAGTTTCAAGTGTAACATGGCAGGCAAGCATAGATACTTTACAAAACCATTAATTATTTAAAGATCCGCTTACATCATGAGGTGTCAGCAAACGTCTTGAGAATTTTATGCTGTGTGATTAAAAACAGATGCTAAATTGTTGGTCAGGATGTTATTTACTCAGAGTGCAACTTACACTAATCAGCCACAACAGTGTCTAATAATGTGTAAGTCCACCTTGTATCGCCTGACCTACTACGACTCCACAAAACCTCTGAAGGTGTCAGGCACCAAGATGGCAGCAGCAGCTCCTTTATGTCCTGGAAGTTGGGAGATGGGTCTCCATGGACCAGAGTTGTTTTTGCCAGTACGTCTTACAGATGATCAATCAGACTGAGATCTGGGGAATTTGGAGACCAAGTCAACACCTTGAACCCTTTGTTCCTCTTTTTAAAGTAACATCCACATGAATGCCAGGACCCCAGGTTCTCCAGCAGAACATTGCCTCAAGCATCAAACCCCACCGGGCTGCTCTGTTCCCTCCTGCTGCCATCTCTCATCACACACCAGACTGTCCCATGATGTGAAATAAAGCGTGACTCATCAGACGAGGACAGCTTCTGCTATTGTGTCACAATCTCGTTCTGACACTCATGTGCCCATTATAGACACTTTTGGTAGTGGACAGTAGTTAGTATGGACACCAGCATGAAGCCCTTCAGCAGTTTGTGCTACAGGAGCTCTTCTGTGGAATTTCTCTGCCTCTTTCACTGCATCAATGGGCCTTTCTCTGCCATGACCCCGACACTGGTTCACTGTTGTCCTTCCTTGGATCACTTGTGGTAGTTACTAACTACTGCATGCTGGGAACGTCCTACAACACCTGTCATGTAGGAGATGCTCTACCCAGTCATCTGGCTGTCTGATTCTTGCTTCCATCATATCACTTTCTAGAACTGGCTTTTGTGCTGTTGTTGTTGTTGTTCTTAGATATTATTTTATCCCACAAGGGAAAATTTTGCCAGTACGCATTTTCCAGGTTGTTTGGTTCTACTGCTGGACCACTCTATGGCAGAGTAGATGGAGTGGCAGCTTGGTAGTACTGGGCCTTGAATCCCCAACTTTCCTTTACCACTGATCGACCACTCCCCCTGAAACACCAGATTTTTAATCTGCGCTAATATTGCTTTTTTTAGGTTGTTACATATGCCACTGGCACATAAAAACACTAACCTCATAGATCCTAGCGCCACTTGCTGTTCACCCTGTTGACTTCCTACCTAGTAAATCCCACCCCTTGATAGGTTCTTTTGGAACAAGATGATCAATGTCAACCACTTCACTTATCAGTGGTTTCAATGCTGTAGCAGATCAGTGGTTGTCTGCACCAACAGACGTCTTTATAATAACTGGTATGCACCAATACATACAGGTTGATAATGGTTCGTTTGAGTCCTTTTACTCCAGTAAAAGTAAGCATACTTCCTGTTTATAAACAGCTGCCTCACCTCACATTCAAACCTGCAGTACATCCACACCAGGAGCTTTACTGTGCTTTCACAGTCTTTTGCTGTCTACTTGAGCAATTAGATATTGATTTCCTTGCTTGAGGACTTTGGTGATACAGTTGCTGACAGACAGGAGACCGTTACACCTTCACGAATGAAATGTTTCGCTCTCTCTCAGCCTGGGGAACCGCATCAAAAGTCACCTGCCTGAATGACAGGGAGAAAAAGCATCTGATGCGATCCACACGTCTTTCTTTGAATGTCCAGCAACCGCTTGGATCACTTAAGCATGTTTCCATGGAGACCTGGAGTGGACTAGAGTTTGGATATAGTGTTTACCAGACAGGAATTACAAGAGCTGAATGGAATCGAAATCACATTAAAAAGAGTAATACATTTTTGTAACTTAAGGAGCTGAGAATAAATGTGTACGTATTTATGTACCAGTGGGTGTAATGTGAAAGAAATGGAGAGACGAGAGAGAGGCAGCTTGCTAAGTGTTACCACAAACTGCTGTGTTGAGTTTTTGTCAGGTTTATACATTAACAGCTGCTATATTTATCAGAGATGACAAGCAGTCAAATTAAATTAGAATTCTTATTTTAAACTGTTTTCTTATCATTTGGAATTTGGCTTGGGAGTCGTGGGAAATGTATTAGACAAACTGAACATAAACAAACATAATTTTACAGAGTGCACTTGGTTCTTTGCTCAGCATTTTTTTCCGCATCTAGCAATTTTCTTTTCAGCTGCTTCATTTGACACAGCTGCAGCCGAAGAATTCAGAAGCAAGCGGGTGTATCAGTCGGTTTTTAAAACATAAGAGGAGAAACTCTAAGCTGTAAAATGTCCAGTTGGCACTTTCACTCCAGCCTGGCAACGTAATGAGGAGTAATACGGCACATGAATACCATATTGCTGAAGTATTTTGATATTCTTATAGCCAAATTGCTGAGGCAAGGAAACATGGCATTACAGCAGTGAACCCAGAGAGATTAGAGCGTCCAATAATATCCACTAATGTAATTTCAATATCTGAACTTGTAAGATAAAAAAGAAGAATGAAATGCTTGAATTTTAAAAAAAAAAAAAACAAAGATTGCAGAATACATAGGAAATCTTTTTTAGGAGTAAAACACCCTAAACTACACTGAACATCCTTATTTTTAACCCTCATCGTGGCACTGCCTCATCCTGCTGTAGAATCATTTCACAGCCAACTGGCTTAAAGAGGAAAGTAAACTTGTCATATGTCTGGCACAGCATGTCAAACATTTGAGCTGTCAGCAATACTCGGTGAAGGCATTACCATCACCTATAGCAAACCTAAGCTGTCATCATGTCTGAGCTCTGTGAATTTCATGCCGTTTTAAATGAAATTCCTCCTACATACGTCCCAACATCCCATCACGGAAACACAAATGTAAAGAAAATATGTTCAGAACCTTCAAGCTCCTTTTATCTGTCTGTTCGTTCATTAAAGCCACAAAGGATGGATGGTAACAGGATACACATTGTCTAAGGACTGCTGCAAAAACTGATGGTTCTCTAAATTAAAAACCACACTGGAGAAGTGGACATCTACAACTTCCGACATATCTGATGATCCTGACTCAAGCCACTTCTCTGGGAGTCTCACTTCTGTCACTCCCTGATGCTTTTGAGCATCTTTAAACTGGCGAGAAGCATCTACAATTTGCGTTAATGCACCACCGGCACCTCTGATATCATTTGAAATATGATAGCTTAAGCAGAATCCCATACATTTCTACACAAATTCTGCCTGGCAAGCACTGCCTGCGTAGGCTCCTTAAGAGACTATTTGTATCCTATGAGGTGCTGGATTACAGGATTTGCATTTTAAAGGGTGTCGGTGATGACAGCTGGAGGAAATTGGTGAATGCAATTGTAGCAATGCAATAAAAGATCTGTAATGTGAGTCAAGCTCTGTAACCTGAATGACACACCTGCTCCTGCCCACCACAGATCCTCTAATGCCTACAGCGTGAGACAGGTTATTACCCTGCAGCACCAGCAATATTTATGCCACACCACGTGTACAGGTGAATGCAGCACTGAGGTGCCACGTACAATGTAAATATGCAGCCTTAAAATGTAACATGTGAGCTGGACCAGCCATAAGTCTTTGTGTTTTTCTGTCTGAGAGATTGTTTTTCCCTGAACGGGCAACAACAAAAGACCAGTGTTGCCATAAACAAAGGAGCATCTGAAGCCATTCCGCCGTCTTTTAAAGCTTTTATGTCTAATACACTAGTTAATCAGATTAATGCCTCGACTGCAAAAGGAAATTATTCCTATAAAGTGCAGGAAAATTACACTGATCCAATTTCTCTGCAAACCCAAAGTGCAGCAACGGCAGCATTTCAGGACAGAAATAATAGATTTTGTTTTGATCTCTAGAGCATGGAGTTGTCTCTCCCAGGGGCCTGCCAGGGTTAAACTCTGATCTGTACACTGTGACTTGCTCAAGGCTGTGTGTGGGCTGTTATTAAAAAGAAATATTGCTTCATAAAAACCTGCTGCGCTGCAGCCATGACTCCTGTTAATGCAGACTGTTGCTGGAGTATGTCTCTGGGAGGGGAGATGTTGTTTTTTCATCTGTCCTCCGATTGCAAAGGCAATTAGCATGTGAACTTATGACCCTATCTGTCAAAGAGATTGAAAGACACCTTGGAGAGAAATGTCCTCTTGCATTGTTGCTTTGAACAAATCTCCTCCTCTTCTAATGGATTTGCGTAATGGACTTAGCAAGGACGGGGCCCGGTGTTAATATAGACTCCGGCACCCTCTCCACTGGTCATTTGCAATGCAATTTGCAATTAAAACACTCTGCAGTGGCCATCTGGACACGAGAGCACTGAGAATGAGCAAAGGACACTTTACCCTTGAGTCTTATTGGGGGTGGGAATACATGTACCTGAAGGACATTTAAGAAATTAAGAGATCGGATACTTTTTTTTATCTGGAGTAAATATCTGAGCATAGAGTAGAATTTAGATTACTTTGTGGAAGAATGGGACATGATCACCCTGATCCATTTTACTGCTGTAAAAAACAAAGCCTTACTCGGGAGCAACTTTTCTTTGTTCTTGCCCTGCTGCCATCATCACCTCGAGTTTCTACACAAATCTGCACATAATGATGCCAGAAGTCCTGATCAGATGGCGGCTCAGGATCCACTGACACAGGTGACGCCTCCATGCAGCTGTGATCGTGCAGCGAGCAAAGTTTCACACGTCCGGTAGGTGGCAGTGAATGTTCTCAGGTAAAGGGAGGGCAGGTTGTGTGTGCCTGTGTGTGTGTGTGTGTATGTGTGTGTGTGTTGTTTCTGGAAGGAGGGGGGCGTGTGTTCCTCTTGCACAAGCGCTCCCATGTTGCGTAGTCTGGAAACCTGACGTGGATCGCAGCCGAGGCGGTGAAAGCGGCGGCAGCAGCAGCGGCGGCAGCAGCGTGGTTGTGTGAGTGTGTGTGAGAGACTTTTGCGTGTGAGTGTGAGTGTGTGTGACAGTGACAGAGTTGCGGCAGAGCACATCACTAAGTGCCTGCTCTCCGCCGTCTCGCGCGCTCCTCCTCGGACCGCTTCAGAGTCGCACGAGACCGGCGCCCGCTTTGCGTTCTGGCCCCGGCGCGTGACCCGAGGATCTCCCCCCCAACAGTTGTGACGAGCAGAAGCCCCGGAGGCTGGAGAGCAGGAAAGCTGGAGCTAAACTACATTCATTGACTTGTGAGCGATGCACTGGCAGCATGGCCAAGTGGTTCAAGGAGCACCTAGGATTCAAAACTACCAAAGCACCCCCTCCGGCGCCTCCGAAACCGGACTACAGACACTGTCACACCGGTGTGCCCGGTGCGCCTGGCTTCCAACAGACGAGCTCCGGGGCCACCTTTCCCCCGAGCCCCGCTCAGCCGGACATCCTCGCTGCTTACAAACTACAAAAGGAGCTGGACTTCGAGGACCCGTACACTCCAGGCGGAAACATTTCGTTCGGCTCGAGTTTGAACAGCGTGGGGTCGCCGGATATCAAGTACGTGTCACCGAAGCACCGACTTATCAAGGTGGAAACCGTCGAAAAGAGCAGCCCGGCTCCGGGAGGGGGTGTCACGGTCACCCAGGCTGTAGCAGTGGGCAGCGTTAAATCTCCCACTTCACCTCCGTCGGACCACGACAACAAGGAGAAGGTGGGTGAAGTTTGGTCCCAACAATAACTTTACTCTTCTTTCAATTTGTTGTTATTAATTTATTTGTATTGTTACAATGTATCGCACCATTACAGCTGTTTCCCATTAAACCGCCTCCTTCCTAACGAACCACTTGACCTACTCCCGTGAGAAGTGAATCGCTACAACCGGCAGAACTTGTTGTTACAACCACGCAAAACGGCTGCCCACATGAGTTGCGACATCCAGCTCTGTCTAATATCTAACCTGCACTACAGGGAGTGCTGCTCAGGGAACAGGCTCTGTCCTGTCAATATATGAGCTCATTTTCCTTTAATACGCAAAACTTGTGTGTGTCTTCTGTTCACCTTTTTATTTTTTTGGAGACTTAAAGTGCAGCCAAACTAACTCTGCCATCTGCCTTCTGTGTCAGCAAGCAACTGAGACTCATCCACAGTGCCTCTAATTTAACCTTAATCTAATCTTATTTAACTAGACAGATCAATTTAGTGAATGTTCATCGCCAGTGATGCCTGCTGCCTCCAGGGGAAATTACTTGTGATGAGTTTTATGGATATATGGCTCTAATTTGATCCCAGCTTGGCACTGTTCTCTGAGCCACCCCTTTTTTTTTAAACAAAGTGAATGTGGAGACAGATGGCAGGGCATGCAGGTTGTGCCTTGGAGCATGCTGTCATGTCAGGCTTCTCAGGAATCCATACACTGGGGTTCATTTGGAGAAAGCTGAGATGTTCGGTGTCAGCGAGCTTATAAGGACACGCTGTGTGAGGGGTGAAATCCAGCTGAGGAATGTTTTCAGCGTCTGCATAGCTCATTAACGGAGAAAGCACAGCCCTGTGAAAAACGCACACACTCGGATCACGCCACAATCGTGGCTGTGTTCTCGAAATTTTTGTGGTCCTCTTGATTTCACCTCTGTGTTACTTCCTCCTCCGCTTGTGTTTGCCTTTAGCACCTGTCTCGTGACATGTGGCGAGTTCGCAGTTGGCTTGTGGTTCAACACTTTCATTTGTAATTCCACGATGTGTGCAACCTGTCACGAGACTTTGTTTTTCACCCCAGGTTTGATGACACAAAACACAACCCGTCACTGTCATCTGCATTTCCAATAATATAACCGCAGCACACAAATCAGGAACCCGAGTGAAGCTCCTGAAATGATATTCAGTTGCAGTGTTTGTTTTTTCCACGCTGTCAGCCTCAGTTTTCGAACAAACTTGGTATGCAGGGTTAAGAATCAGGCAGATATGTGTTATCTGTTAAACAAGCCGGAAAGCAAAATGTACAATTTTCACCCAGCCAGTGCAGCTGTTCAAGCTGATCAAACAGATTACTTGTTAATTAGAGCATATTTGGATCTCACCAACTCAGAAATACAGTTCTGCTCTCCTTCCTTTCTCCATGTGCACGTGGCTTTCACAGACAGCCAGTTGATTGCGTAGTATGGGCCTGAATGCCTCACACCCTGCAGTATGAATGATGTTATGGACGAGCTAAATCAGTCCTGACAGCTGGTGGGCTCAGGCAATATGTCGAGAGAAGGTTTTAAGGGTTTCTTGTCAGGTGATGAAGGTTAAATAAAAATGGTGTAGTAGCGCAGAGGGAAGTGAGACGATGCAGCGGGAATACCTCCTGAAAGCGTGTGGCCTTGTCGTCTTTGTCACATTCAGTCAGTTTTGAGGTTTTACAATTTCTCAAATATCAAAAATAAAAACATTTACACAAGTATCTGTCACGATATATTTGTTTTTTAAAATAGCAGATGAGGAAAAAAAAAAAAGAACCCTCAGATATGTCACTGCTCAGTAACTGCTTCAAAGAGTGTTGTGAGGCTTTGTGTTGGCCCTTTTGTGAGGATTACAGTTTGTCTGGAAGCGGAGGATTTTCTCCCGGACTGTGGCTGGACATGATAATTGTTTGTAAATCCTTGTTAGAGGGACTTTCAAGGTGAAGATTTTTACAGATGCTGTTAATGAAGAGCTGTCAGCAATATAGACCGAACGTTCTCTGAGGGAGGATGTGCTGTTTGCGGTTGGTGACATGCTCTCCTTTCAGGCCAGCGCTAAAAGGCGGGTTTTTCTTCTTGTTTGGGGATGCCTCGTATAAAACAGTTTTATAGCTACTTTCCTGAGGCACCGTTTACCCTCAAACAAACATGGACACTGATTCAAACATAATACACATTTTTCCAGCTTGTAGCACAAATCCTCATCGGTTGTGACAGTCGTTTTCCTAAGTGCACGGACGAAACGCTGACTGCTGAGAGACTGAGTAAAGAGCACACGAGTGTCTTAACAGCATTGCTTGGTTACATTGATGTTTTAATTACCTGACTCATGAATGCTAATTATATCACTGCTTACCTAATGCCTGAAATGCCAATAGCAGGATGAGGGAAATTTTCCTCCGGCCATTTCTATTCACCAGCCTCCATTGGGGCAAGATTTGTTCAGTACTGTTTTTACATTTTCACAGGAGTCCAGTTTAATCCCACATTGTGCCAATTCTGTGTTCCGTTGGCCTTCATCTAGAATTTCAGTTTTCATATGGAGCTTAATTTTGATGCAGATGAGGGAGGGTTACTTACAGTTTACAGTTTTCAAGGTATTGTGATGTGTTTTGTTTTTAATGATGCCGAGCCCTTCATGGTAGAGCGCGTTGAGAGCGATGATCAATTATCATCCCGCCTTGGAGCTAATTAAAGGCCTCATCTCCCAGCTCATCGCTCTACTCAGCACTAACCTAACTTCTCTCAAGGACACCCGAAAGTGATGACGGCCTCCACTTGGAAATGTGTAAACAAAAGCAGTAGCGCGGAGCTGACAAGCTGCAGCCTCCCCTCTGAAGCGCCGCCCGTCATCACCAGTATCTGTTTGTGCACCTGGGAAGCTGCTGTTCCAATCTAACTTTGGCTGCCTTCGGGGCTCGGGGTCCCTTTGACTCAGTGATCCCGCGAGCCAGCTTGCATATCTATCTATAGAAGCACACAGTTGGAATCGCAGACAGTTGTTGTGCAGCCAACACAGGCATCTGGATCGACAGATTTCCTCTGTGCTTATTTTACTTATGTGCACCTTTTTTTTTTTTACAAGCCCTGGCTCAGCATTTCAATTGATTATGCTGGAGGGGGAAAGCTATTGTTACCTCCTCCAAGAATGGTATGTTTTGATCCCGTATGGATATGTTTGTAAGTTTGCAGAGTAGCTCAAAAGTTGTTCAATATCCAACACATTGTTGTGAATACAGTGTTCTGAGGAGAAGACGGGTCCTTTCTCAGTGGCAGAGTTTGAATGTTGGCAGTTCATGTTCTGTTTCTCCACAGTGCAGATTAAAATAATAATCATATGCCTGTTGTGTACCTGCGTGCCGTGAGATCGAGACAATGGATCTCAAAATAACAAAAAAAAAGTTCATTGAATAGTCGTCGATTTCTGCCAGAATAGTACCCCTGCTTCCTTCCTTTTTTTGCCTTCTGCATATTTTTCAGTCCATTTGGATGTGTAAAGATCAGAACTTGAGATCATGCTCTGCAGTTTGTGAAAGAGCTTAATTACGCCCCCTCACCAGGTGCACCACCTTCCACCTACATTCTTCCAGCGTGGGTAGAGCAAGCTTGTTTGACTGGCCTGCCGTAGTGCGTGGCTAAACTCCGCTCAGCTTCATTTCCCCACACCCTGAATATCTTCGCTTAGCCTTTCACCCTGGCACTCCAGACATCAGTGGAGTTTTATAAATGCATCCCTCCGGCCTTTCACGCTCTCATCTCTGCCAGTGATAGAAGAAATGTCAAGCACAAACGTCAATATCACCTGGGTCTGTGAGAGTGCTTTTCTTCAGGGAGCCAGAAAATGGATGAAAACATGAGAGCCCATCATGTTTTGTTATAACACCCCTTTTGCTTGCACTCCTTTACCTTTTGGTATCAGACAGAGGCTGGCGAGGCTTGATAGCAGGACTGACTGGATGTTGGGAGTAGTGCAGGTTGGAGCCTTGCTGCTCTACTCGTTCACATTTGTTTATCTGTGCTCCTTCCGCTGAAATCATATTTTTTAAAGGTCGTGCCTGTGAATGTTTGGATAATTCAAGCTGAATGAATAGATAATCGGAATGATGCATAGCTGCACTAATCATGATTTCCATTGCGGTGGCTATTTTATGCTCAGGTTAAAGCGATCAACACGTTGGTGTAGAAGCTGTGTTGTGTGTATCTTGGAATTTGCAGCTGTTGTTTTTCATAATCATGCTCAGTAGTGGTGGGCACATAGTGACTCACATCTTCAAGTAGGGAGATAATTATGATAAATTGTGGAAAATAACAAAGCCAGTGTGTTGCCAGGGCTTCTCTGACTCGTCTCAGTAAAGTCTGGCCTGTGATGTTGTTGGCATGTCATGCCTCTGTCCACTGAGGTGTCAAAAAATGCCATGCATTTCCTGAACTATTTTAAGCATTCAAAGCATTTTCTCAAAATGCCCCCCTGCCATTTCAAGACTACACAATCCTCAGTTTAATTACCCTCTGTCCTGAATTGTTCTTTTCATTTCAGACATATTTTTACGTTGACGGTTTTTCTTATGCCTTATTGTCAATAACAAAAGAACGTTACAATGCATTCCTGTCCTGAACAAGAATCCTGGAAGGGCACTTTGAAAGGAAGGAAGGAGCACAGAGCCGAACAGCACACTGGTTTAAGCTCCGCCTCTGCTGAAACAGAATGAAGTCATACTGTAGTGGAAGATGCGCTGGAAGCCATAATGTGATGGTTATTCAATTGAGCACAAAAAGGTTTGGCTTTTCATCAAGATATCATTTTGGTGAATCCACTAATCCTATTACATTTACATCATGGCCCTATAATAACCATTCATGGTTAAGTGTTATATACAACCCCACCACTACATGTGCATCAAAGTTATAGGTCTTGGAAATGATGGCCTTTAGCCATTGTTTGCTTATTTTCTTTTCCCCCCTCCATCTGGGAGCCTTCTTTTCAGTTTAAAGA